AAGACTGCCTTACAGGCCCCAAGGATAACTTAATGCCTATCCATTACATCGAAAGATTACCCCAAGTGTGTGTTGTCCTAAAGCAAACTTCTAAAGGTAGCCCTGGCAAGAGAGGGGGAATACCTCCAGGTTATAGTTCACACTAGGGGAAGGAAAGGAGAAGCAGGGGATGGAGATTCCTTGAGTAACACTTTCAAACCCTAGAAAGTGTCCCTTGAATACTCCTGGGTAGGAGGAGGGGGAGATAAGAATTGGGCAGGGCATTGTGCCAGTGCTAAAGACTTGGCCACCAAAGCAGTACAAAAAGCACTACTCTCCAACTAGAGTCCCAATGAAAATGAGCTTATTACAGGTTCTGAGAAGTCCCACAGACTATGGAACCACCCTAACTAATAGCCCACTTGCTTTAAGACTGGGCTGTCCAATACAATAGTACTCTAACTACATGTGGTTACCGAGCACCTGAACTGTGGCCGGTCCAAACTGAGACAGGCTGTAAGTGAAAAATACACACTGGAGTTCCAAGGCTTAATATGAAGAAAAATTGTAAAACTATATATTTCCATTTATACTGATTACATAATAAACAACTGTATTTTGATTATATATTAAAATATTTAGGATGTATGGAGTTAAAACTAATTTCATCTGTTTATACTTTAAAAGATTTTTGTTGTTGTTAACCCTCCATTGATTTTTAGAGAGTGTATGGGGGAGGGGAACATCAATATTAGAGCGACACATGGATTGGCTGCCTCCTGCACACGCCCCAACCAGACCTGGGATCAAACCTGCAACCCAGGAACATGCCCTTTCCTGGGAATCGAGCCAGTGACCCTTTTGTGCATAGGCCGATGCTCTTAACCACTTAGCAACACTGGCCAGGGCTGTTTATACTTTTTTTAAAAATATATTTTTATTAACTTCAGAGAGGAAAGAAGAGATAGAAGAAACATCAGTAAGAAACATCAATGATGAAAGAGAATCATTAATTGGCTGTGTCCCACACGCCCCCTATTGGGGATAGAGCTGGCAACTTGGGCAGGTGCCCTTGACTGGAATTGAACCCGGGACCCTTCAGTAGCAGGCTGACGCTCTATCCACAGAGCCAAACGGGCTAGGGCTGTTTATAGCTAGGGCTACTAGGACATTTAAAATCAGGTACGTGGCTCACATTATATTTCTACTGCATAGTGCTTCTTTAGAAATGCGAAGCTACAGCACATGAAAAACCTCAGATAGCCTGGATTGCCATGGCATTTGTGCCAGGTCTGCTTTTCTTCTAAAAGAGAGGTAATCTATCCCAGAACTTGGGACAGATAAAAAAGATGAAAAAAGCACCCAGACATTTTGCCCGGGGTATAAGCCCATTTAGCATTATGTAATCCCAACGGTATCAAGGAATGAGGGAAATACTTCTTAGAAAAACTGAACAGCTTTCCTTCTTTGTCTTATCCCTTAGATATCTATAATAATAAAAGCATAATATGCTAATTAGACCAATGTCCTTCCTGATGAAGCCGGGGCTGCGAGGGAAGCCCGGGGCCTGAGTGCCTGCGGGTGGCTGGAGGGAAGGCAGCCAGGGTCCTGGGTTCCAGAGGGAAGCCCGTGCGGGCAGCCCGGGAAAGAAAGGCCTACTCTTACACGAATTTCGTGCATCAGGCCTCTAGTTTACGTAATAATAGAGAACTGGCTACTTTTGCCTTTCATTCCATAACTCTACCTGTAAAGCTATTCCTAAGTATCATGCTAAAGAGTGAATAACGTTGGAGTTCAGTGAGTGAAATCATTGTGTGCAGCCAGTACAGAGAAAGACAGACGTTCCCTCAGGGACTGCCCAGGAGGGTGCTGCTCAAGGCCCAATGGGTTATGTGTTCATTATTCCCTAGTAGATCTCACTGTCTTTCACTCACTCCATTACCATGGGTGACCACTGCACCAATTTCCTGTGAAAGGGTAATAGGTAGGTGAATGTCTACCACGCTTTTGAAGTACTATACCAGTCAACTCACGAAAGGGAGTTGGTAAAACCTAACCAGAGAACTAGTTGTGTGACTGAAAAAGGTAACCTGCTTTGTGGTTCAGCTTCCTTAGTTCTAACAAGAATAACAACACACATCTTACCAAGGAACTTGAGGATCAAAGGAAAGAAAGCTGAATCCTAGCAGTTGCTGGCACTAAGCAAGAACAGTCTCTTTCTAGACTCCTCTATCTGTGGGCTTCAGTCATCTCTGCCTTAAAGTTAAGGTCCAGACCTTTCTAGATTTAAAATTGAGGAAGTAAGCAGGACAAATAGGTAGTTGCAGAATAGCCACAGAGATGTAGATTACAACATAGGGAATACAGTCAATAATACCAAGATAAATGGGTGTAGGGCCAGCATGGGGGACCACGCTGTAAGGTATATGATTTTCTAACCACTTTGCTGTACATCTGAAACCAATACAGAATAATATCACATGGAAACTAATTTAAAAATACATTTTAAAATAATAAAATTGAGAGACTGTATGGCCAGTTGTTATAAGGTAAATAGAAGGACTCAGAAGATCTGTCACACTATGACAAGAAGTGGGTTTTCCCTTTTCTAGATTTTTCTCCTCCAAAGTACTTCACTAACATTAAGTGTCACTGTGAAGTGGCTGTTGTGTCCAGTTTCCTGGCATCTGAAAGAGAGCAAACTGGGAACAGCTGGATGCAAGTGCCACTGAACGGTTTCTCAGGGGCCCAGGAATCCCCCCTGCTCGTCAGTGCCTGTCCTGGAGGGGACTGCACCACTGCAATGTGTCCTGTCCTCTCATTGTTGAAGCCCCCTTCCTGTGCCTCGCCCACTTCAGGTCCTCAAGTAAAATCATTTGCTGTCTTTGAAGATGGATTCCTCTCCTTCGAGCCTACCACCTACTTAAACTACCATGTCTTCTCCATCCTCAGACCATCCTTTCTCTGTTCTATACAATTTCTCCACATCCAATCATTCCGTCATCCCCATGGAGGGCGCTCAAAGGAGCTGTGAGTAGCTACATCTACTGTTAAAACGCCTAAAGCTGCCTGAGTAGTATCAGGGCTATATACTCTTGGACTAAAATGTATTCAATGAACAGAGACATATTTGGAATAGCAGTTTTTGGACGGATTTCAAATGGATCACAGGCAATAGGAAACTTAGTCATTGACTATTTAGGCCCAAGCAAGAAAACATCAATATTTCTAAGTATCTATATAAATCAACAAGTCCAGTTATAGTCGGTTTGGCTCAGTGGATAGAGCGACGGTCTGCGGACCAAAGGGTCCTGGGCTCGATTCCCATCAAGAGCATGTACCTCGGTTGCAGGCTCCTCCCGGGTGAGGGCCCTGGTCCAGGCTCATGCAGGAGGCAACCAATCGATGTGTTTCTCTTGCATTGATATTTCTCTCTGTCCTTCCCTCTCTTCCACTCTCCCTAAAAATCAATGGGGAAAAATATCCTCGGGTGAGGATAAATAAATTAATCAATCAATCAACAAGTCAATTACCAACCAAGTCATCTACCTCAGTACTCGGGGGCTATGGGGCTAAATGAGGTCAGAATCTGCATCCCACAGAACCCCAATCTGTGTGCCAAGGCCCACAGGGGAAACAGCTGGGCAGCCAGATGCCCTGGGTCTGATCCCTTCAAGCAACAAGGGGCCTCCATTCTCCAGGCTCCAAATTCCTCTTCTAATCAAACTCCAGTTTAGAGGCATCCGTATCTAAAAGCTCAAGGCTACCGGACACTGAATGGAGAAGCTACCCTGGGGTCTACCCCAAGCCGCCCAAATAAAAGTGACCGGTGTCTCCTCTGACCCCTCTATGCCCCGTCATAACACAGATCTCATGGCATCACGTGGGTTTGCATGTTTCCTCCACCCAGCTGGGTTCCTTGCACCCCCAGGGCCCCACCACATAACGCTCGATAACGTGAGCAGAAAGAGAAACATCTGCTGGCCTAGCGCCATCCTTCTCAAGCCAGGTGCACCGCGGGCTGCGATAACGCAAAGCCACACGATAACCAAGGAGCATCTCCCTCGAGTTCAGGCTTAAAACATTTTCTTCCTAAGACACTTTAAGAGAAAGCAAAACCCACATGGCGTGTTTTTTTTTTTTTAAGAAAATAAAATAATAATAAACTAGTCGTCTCCTAGCAGGCTGTCAGCTTCCAGATTCAGGGCCCCGTCCCAGGCTGTGGGGTGAACAGGTACCTCTCCTGCCCCGGCCGAGGCTGAGAAACCCAAGAGGAGGTGCGCTCCCAGGCACCCAACTTTTTGAGAGACTGAAAGCAATTTGTCGGGGGTCAAAGGCCACCCGCGCCACTTTTCCAGGTGAAACCAACAACAGCAGCAGCACAAAAACAAGCTAATCTCGCCCAAACGACTGAGAAGAACAGTGCTGAGGCCGGGAACGGGCGCTCTCTCCCCCGCCTGGCCCAGGACGTCCCACCACGAGGCTGGTGAGAAAACAAACTCTGCAGACGCCTGAAATAACGCACCATGGCTGGATCGGTCCCGAGACCCTTGACCGCTTCCTGCAAGAGCGCCAACCAGAAACTCTCACTTCTCGCCCCGGCAACCAACGAACCGTTAATGGCCCTGGATCAACAGTAACCCGAGGCGCCGCCGGGGCGGGGGCGGGGGCGGGGGCGGTACGGAAGCCGGGGGCGCACAGCCGACGCCTCCCGCAGGTCAGCTCCCGGGCGGGTGCGCAAACGCCCCGGCCTTCCGCGCTCCACTCAAGGGCCCCAACAGCCCAGAACTTGGCGAACTTCCCTCCGCGCCCGCCGCCAGGCTCCAGGCCACCCGCGTCCCCGAGAGGGAGCCGAGTGGCGGGGCAAACACCTTCAGAGGGAGGCGGGGGGGGTGGAAGAGCCGGCTTTCTTCCTCCAAGTCCCTCCAGGGGCCGCGCAAGGGTCCCGCCAGGACTCGGGACGCCAGGCGGACACACAGTCGGACAGACACCCCCGGGCCAGGAGCCCCTTCCGCGCTCACCTTGGCCGACGTCTCTCCGAACAGCGGTCGGTTGTCCAGACCGCTGGTGCCGTAGGTCCGGGTAGAAAAGTCCTCCATGTTGGGGCTTCTTCGCTGTCCCCAAAGTCACTCAGCACCGAGCCAGCATTCCCTCCCGAAGGGTCAGGTCCGGGCTCCCCGCGCCGCCTGCTCAGCGGGCGCGCATCGCCGACCCCGGGCGGTCCCGGCGGCGGGCGCTCAGGCGCGGGGGGCCAGGCGGCCCCGCCCGAGCCCCGCTCGCCGCCGCATCCTCCGCAGCTGCCAGGGGAAGTGAAAGGAAACACCTTTGGCCGACTCTGCGCGGGAGGGACGCCCCCGCCCGGGCAGCGCCACTTCCCCAAATCTCAGCGCCGCACCGGCCGCCCGGCAGATCGCTCCCCGCCCGGCAGATGGGCGTCCCCCTCGGCCCGGGGCCCCGGCCCGCTCCCCAGCCCACCCCCACGCCGCGAGCGCGCAGACCTTCGGGCCCCGGGGAAAGTTTTCCGGGGAGAACTCGGGACCGGCCCCGGCCCCTCCTCACCACCGCCTCCCCCGGCCCCCGGCGGCGGGAGAAGTGAAGTTAGCGGCCGAGCAGAGCCGAGAGCTCCGCGGAGCCTCCCGCAGCGCTGCGGGCGCCGGCCGGCCACGCGGATCCCCGCGCGCGTGGCATTACCTGCCGCGGCTCCCCTCGCGCTCCGGGCGGAGAATCCCGCCTCGGCCCCGCACAGATCGGCCGCCCTTCCGGGAAACCCGCGCCCGCAGGCCAGACCTCGGCGCCCCCGGCCGGCCGCCCGCACGCTGACGAGTCCCGGCCGCGCTCGGAACCGCGGCTGCCGCGTCCACACCCGCGCGGGACTCGGTGCCGGGGCTGGGGCGCGGGCCGGCGGAGAGCGGGCGCACGGGCCGGGAGCCGCGCGGGGGGCTCCCCTCGGACCTTCGGACCTGGACCCCGCGCCGCTGTCGCAAACCGACTCGGCCCGCCCAGGCCACGTCACGGCCGAGGCGGCCAATCGCGCGCGCCGAGGCGACGCGTGGGCTGCGGAGCGTTGGTTCTGGAGGTGCCCGTTGACGCCCGGCGGGACGGCCGGCTCCCCGGCGGCACGTTTCCCAGCGTCTCTGTAATTCGCGTCTGCGCGAGCCACGGGAGCAAAGAACATCTCTGAAGACAGCTTTGCGTTTGGCTAAAAGCATCTTCAAAACATAACCACCCCAGTGTTTGCACAAGAGGACAGAATGGGGTCCTCGATAAATTTGGTTGAGGGTCTGGATGTCTTGTGTTGCCCGTGATAGGGATCCTGTGTGGTTTACAGAAACAGCGGGGGGGGGGGGGGGTTAATGAGTGCGAGGTACCTCTTGGACTTGCCTGCTCATCCTGCCAGTGCAGGTGCTGACTAAGCATGTTTGCAGCCACAGAGAGCGGGTGCCTGTCAACCTCTTCACTGCTTAGAGTGCAGAGAACTGCAGGTGGATACACTTCTAGGCAAGCAACACAGCATCACTCTGCATCCGGGGTCATTTATAAGGATACGACACAAACACAGGCAGGCTAGTGTCCGTGGACACGACAACTCCTAGACTGAAGGAAGCTCTAACAACATTTGTGTGCACGGAGGGCCCGTGTTGGCAACAACAGTCCAAGCCAAGATTCTAGGTGGTCCCTTAACCGTTCAGGACAAGGGATGAGGACAAGATGGACACCTGGCTGTGGCTTTGGAATTTGCAACACTGAATAGAATCGGGTATTGTCACTGATCTAACAGTTATGTATTTTATAAATGATCTCTTTGTTCAGGACTTTTGTTATCACAGGATTTTTTACCCACAATTGTTTACCCAGTTCTGTTAGAAAGTTGATTGGCCCAACAAATAACTTTCTTTTACTCATATTCAGCAACATTGATTCACAAATACTTTAGAGGACAAACACTTTTAAGACAGGCAACCATCAAACTTCAATTCCACAAGCTATGTGATCTTGGGCAAGTTATCTAACTTCTTTTGAGCTCCTTTTTATGTAAAAAGGGAAGATTGATAACAATAAATGAAACTAGAATATCTAACTTTATATATGTGCATATATATATATATATATCGCATAAGTATCCAAATGGTTGTCATAAATAGTGATGGATGCTATGATCTGGACACTATGGGATGCTATAAGTGTATGTAGGGCACCCATAGCCTCAGGTGGCAGGGGAAGCTTCCTGGAGGAGCCTTCTAAATCAAGACACCCCCCAAGAAAAGAGGGTGATTTAGCCAAGGTAAAGAAGAGACTCCAGAAGGCTGGCCAGAGAGACCAGATGCTGTATAAGGTATATTTGAGGAGAGGTTGTGCCAGGGATAACCACTCTCCTTCTAGAGCTTGGTCTCTTGTCTCATATCAATGTTGTGCCTTTGCTCCATTCCCCCCCCCTTGGCCCCCCAAGAACCATTTTCGTCATGATTACTACTCCCCAAAACTTCAACCTAAATAAGGCGTTAGCTTAATTTTGGGTACTAAATGGGGAAAATGGATCTTGAAATGCCACTGCCCACCACTGCTTTAGAGTTTCCATCTCTATTTTTTAGTTCAGATTCACATGAGAAACTTTGGTCCAATGAGTCCAGATTATGGATTGGTTTCTACTTGTATCTGGTTCTCCACACCCAACCAGCTAAAGCTGGGACCAGATAGAACATCTCTTCTAAGGTCCAGCCGTTTCAGCAGAGCAGGATAGAGGACATTTAAATAAAACACAGAGTATGTGTGATAGTCAATGACAGGTTATCCAGTGTCTTGCCACTAGAAGTGTGGTTCCCAAATTGAATTGCCTGGTAACTTGTTAGAAATGCAGAGCTTCAGTACTACCCCAGATCTACTGAATCATAGTCTGTATTTTAATAAGGCTCCCAGGGGATTTGTATGCACTTTGAAGTTTGAAAAGCACTTCTTTCATATATCTCTAGTTTTATATACTGGGCCACAGGCCATATAGATGACACTCCCAAATACCATAGCTCCTGGTATTTTTTTTTTTAATTGTGCTTTCGCCACTCATTTCAATGCAACATTCTGAACTTGGTCATCATTCAGAACTGCACCATGTTGGAAATATGTCCAGAGAGACCATTTGGTGTGCCTTGTCCCCCAATCCTTCCTCTCTTATCGATCCTTCAGCAACTTCATTGTCTCTGACCCTTTGTTGTCTTAACTTTCTCCCTGTGGATCTACTCCCTTGTTTTCACTTTCTCCCAACTTAGATCCTGTGTTCTAGCACTTGCAAGTGCTTTCTTGATAATATGCTCTTCCCTTGTTTCATTTATTTTATCACACTTGTGCAGAAAGTCCCCTGAGATATTAATTTGCCTGCCTTCTCAACACTTGTGACCAGGTGCCTAGTGCAGCTGGAGGGGAGAAAATCATTCACACTCCTGAATAGAGTGATTTTAAATTCAGAGCAGCCAACCTCAGCTGTGCCTTAAAACCAGCTGGAAATCCTGTGTTGCCTGGCAATACTCCCTTACCCTCACCAGGTGACTCATTCACCAGCTTCTCGGGGAAGAAATGGAAGCCATCAAATGGGAATTCCCTCACCTCCCAACAAACCTACACATTCACCTTCATCCACCCTCATTCATTTCTCCTTCCCTCCAATTAGAATGGGAGAGATGCCTGTCCACCTCTCATGTTTTACATCCCATTGCATCTCACAATTACAGGGGTCACACTATTATGATTATATTTTTCCTGTAAAAAGCATTTAAGCATGCTCAGTTTCAACTGTGTGTTGCTTTTTTTTTTTTTTTTTAAGTTAAAAAACTTGCATTAAGCTCATGTCTCCCTCTTGCTACCACATTCTCTTTCTCCATACCCTCTGTGGAACTCTTGGTTGTCTATATAGCCATCTTTCTCTTCCCCTACTTCCTTGAAAGCAGAATCTACCTCCCAATATAAAGGAGGGAGAATTCCAGATGTTCGCTTGATGAAACGTCCTTGTAGCTGAGGGTGGGGGTGTGAGTTTTAAAGCCAGGGACTCATTAGGGCATGTGTCTGTTGGAGCTTTCAGGGAGGTTTGCTTCTAACTGCAAACCAACATGTATATAAAAAGGTCCATATAGATTGTATCTTACCTCCCATACCTGCTGCAGTCACTGAAATCTGGGTTACCCACACTGCACTGCTCCACCATGTTCTCCCGTGAGGGGCCCAGTGAAGGACTGACTGCTGAATCCACTGGACACTTTTTCAAACTTTCTCCTACTGGCCTCTTGGCAGCACTTAGTATTTTAAGATCCTGGGGAAAGCCATCGCTATAGCTCTGCTGCTCTCCCTCCTGCCCATCTCTTCAACATTCGCTCCCATGGCTCTGTTCTCAGCCCTTTTTTCCTTCTCACAACATGCTTTGCCAGGGCCAGCTCGCCTACCTCCATGGCTTCCATTTATACCTCTATGCCAGCGATTTTCAACTTTTTTCATCTCACGGCACACATAAACTAATTACTAATATTCTGCGACACACCAAAAAATATTTTATTTCTTTTGCCAATCTGACCCCCAAAAATGGTATAATTTTGATTCGTTCACACCAAACGGCTATTGTTGTGTTGGCTGTTGTCATTTTTTAATTTGACAGTCTAAGGGGGAAAAGGTCAGTGCTCCTAAGTAGTCAGGTATGGCATGTTTTAAAAATCCTTGCGGTTAAATGATTCTCAGTCATTTTGGGTGGGATTTAACTGTGTTGCTCCTCTTTAGTTGTCTCTATTGTAAAGCTGTCAGAGAGCAGTTCTCTCAGCTCTCACTGGACATTAAAATAGTTGGGGAGGGTTTTTTTTGTTGTTGTTTGTTTTTTTTAATATATTTTATTGATTTTTTACAGAGAGGAAGGGAGAGAGATAGAGAGCTAGAAACATCGATGAGAGAGAAACATCGATCAGCTGCCTCCTGCACATCTCCAACCGGGGATATGCCCGCAACCCAGGCACATGCCCCTGACCGGAACCGAACCTGGGACCCTTCAGTCCGCAGGCCGACGCTCCATCCACTGAGCCAAACCGGCTTCGGCAAGTTGGGGAGGTTTTTAAATACCATGATGCTTGGGGCCACACCCCAGACCAATAATATCAGATTCTCTGAGATGAGACTCAGGCAGCAATATTTTTTTTATAAATGTTTTTATTTTGTTTGTTTTTTAAATATACTTTTATTGATTTTAGAGAGAAAGGGATAGGGAGAGAGAGGGACAGGGAGAGGAAGAGAGAGAGAGAAACATCAATGATAAGAGAGAATCATTGATTGACTGTCTCCTGCATACCCTCTACTAAGGATCAAGCTTGCAACCTGGACATGTGCCCTGACCCAAAATCAAACCATGACCTCCTGGTTCATAGGTCAATGCTCAATCACTGAGCCACACTGGCCAGGAGGTAGCAATATTTTTTTAAAGCTCCTCAGATGATCCTGGTATGCAGCCACGCAGAGAGCCACTGTTTCACGGGAGAGTACTGGGCTACACATCTGGGCCTGGGGTTTGTGGGTCCTCGGCCCATTCTCTGACAAGTCAATCGCTCAGACTTTGGAATTGACAGAACTTGATTTGAATCCTGGCTTACCCCTTCACTAGGATGCATGATTTTGAGCAAGTTACTTCACCTCCCTTGAACCCCACTTTTGACTTGTGAAATGAGCAGAATAATACCTGACCTATAGGGTTTAGTAAGAATCCTATATAATAAAAGTGTAATAACCAAATTGTCCCCTTGACCAGCAGTTTGTCCAGGAGTTCGACCAGGGGGCAGATCAACCAGGGGAAGGGAGGGAGTACCTGGCCGGCAGCCACTAGGGACCTAGCAATGTACGAATTTCATGCACTGGGCCTCTAGTGAAATAATAAAATCATATGTTAAACACCTGACACACAGTTAACACCATAAATTACACATATTATGAATTTACTAAAATGAACATAATGAAGACTGTAGCAAAATGGGAAAAAATGACAACA